GAAACATGTAAATCACTCTCCTCTTTCTAAATGAGTGTACAGTGTTTGGGTAAAGTTTTCTGTAAACGGTTGGTGCACCTCTTAATAAGAAGCTTTACATAAGTAGCCCTATTCATACTCTCACGAATACATGGAGGGCTGTTTATGCTGGAATTATTCACTCAAGATGCCACAGAGAAGAAGGAATTGTTCCATAACATTCTCTGTACATCCAGGCTACTGTCTGGCAGTGCTATAAGCACAGCATACAAATTAGGTCAGGCAGGGTTTGAAGAATGAGCGTGAGACAGCAACAAAGGTGGAAAGGAACACCACTGCTGAATGGTATCATAGCACATTAACAATGCTATTATAGTGCGTTTTTCTGCTCCAACAACATAGTTCCATGATTTTCCTGTGGCACACAATGGGATGGGTTTGCAGAACACATTAATTTTGCACTTGTAGAAATGACAGTCTTGTAATTACCATTCATTGTGCTTGATGCTAATGTAATGCACTCATTCCGTCGCCACAGTAATTCTGAATGCAATCAAGTAAGCACTAATGCCTGAGAGATCCCACCACATAACTACCAATCTAAAGAAAATCACGATCCCCTTATTTCTGAAGAGTTAGGTTAAACACAGTGGCTCATGAAGAAAACTTCTTGGGGTTAATAGGCAAAATGCATGAAGAGAATGGCAGGGCTGTATACCCTTCACCTCAGCCAACGTCAGAGAAAAAGTTAAATGAAGCCTGTGCATTTCCATTGATGTTATTTCAGAGGGTTTACCCAAAAGACACCCAAATATTCTCTTAATAGCTGCTTAGCAGGATGAATTTATATTTGGTGCAGTTAGTGGCTTTAACCAAAACAATTTAACCAAAAACTGCCAAACATATTTGGAAAGTATGTGTGGGCAAGCTTCTGAGTCAAGACGAGCACCCTCTTGACTCTGGTAGAACGGGGGTACTGCTAGCTGGGAGGAACCCTGCAGCCGTCAGGACAGCTTCCTCTGCAAGCCCCCTCCAGGGCCGGGGATCTTGCCTCCAGGACATCCAGCCAAGTGCCCCCTCTGTGCCAGCCCTGCCCTTCCTGGTAGCCTCGGATCTGCACAGCAGCTCCTGTGACTACACCTTTGCAGTAGGTCCGCAGCCAAAAACCAGCCCCTACAAAGAATGGCCACGGTCACCCGCCAAAGAACGAGTCCACGAAGGTCCTTCAGGGGGCCTTCCTTTGATAGTGTAGGTCTGCACCTTGTGTATGTGGGAAAATGATCACAGTAGTTTGTTAAGCGAATGAAGCAGGTCCCAATGTACCACGTACAGCCTGATGACATCTTTACCCGAAATCAAACATGCGCACAGGCACACACACGTCCAAGGAAAGCAGACTGTGAAGCACACACCCAAAGATTAACTGTCACTATTTTTAGGGGAGGGTGAAAACACCAATGTTTACTTTCATTCCATTTTTTGCTCTGTTTTATAATGTTTACATGATATATTCCCTCTAACATCCTTTTTTGTTCCTTTTTGGGAAGAGCAGAACTAAGAGGCGGAGTTCTTACCCCAGGCATTCGAGGGTCAACTGCCTTTACTCGGTCGATCTAGTAATTAACCGGGAATTGTTACACCGGCTAATCATAGCACTGGAATGGAGTAGCATGTCAGGTGAAAATGGCATATAATTAAGTTACCCTTGAAAAATCCATCTGTGAATACATTTAATGGAGCCCATTTTTTCACAAGCCTCAGAAGTGATCGCCTTTCAGGTGGCCCCTGGAGGAAGGATTGGCTCATAGGGGCCAAGCAGTATGAAAACAACCACCTGGAGTACTTGGGTCGCACCCAGCTGTGTCAGAGGCTCACCGTGGGACCGGCGATGGGAAGCTGGCAGCCCGAGGCAGCCGGTCAGCCAGGGCTTTGGTGTTAGGTCAGCGGGCAAATGGTGGCAAACGGCCCACACCACTCACGTTCTCTCCCATGCTCCCTCTCTCCCGCAAGCAGGCTTTTTATCTCTGCTCCTCTGCATCTGTCTCTGTCTTTCCAGGTTCCCTACCTCTTCCCCTATTTCTCCCTTTTGAGAGAATATGTTTGCACTTGTAAATCCAATGAGCAAGTGTGGCCACTTCACTAAGCTCAGGAAGACAGGGCTGGACTCGGGCTGGTCACTGCTTATGATCTCCTTGGCTTCGGGAAAGATGCACTCCAGCTGCTGGGCCCTGCCAGCAAATATATACAGCAGAAACGCCCTTTTGTCCTCCTTTAAGCTTTTATCCAAGCTGCTCCTGGAGCCTTTTTTCAAATGAATCTGTACAGGTTTGATCACCGGGTAAGATGTTGCTCTCCCAGGACTACTTGCACCTTCCATAGGAAGGCTGGCTGGGGTAAAGTTCACGTTTGGAGAGAACGTGAGGGCGACCTGGAAACCCCATAGCTAGGCCGTACAGCCGCTGCCTCATCCCCCAGAGCACTGGACAGGCTTCCACCTTCTCAGAAGGTCCTCCAGCCAGCGACCATTTTGCAGCTGAGATAGCCCCCTTGCCCGGCAGAGTCCCTGCCCCGTGGCTGAGGCTGAGGATAGCCTAGGATCGGCAGAGCTGCGCCTCGGCCTGCCTTGAAGGCTTAGCTGTGGGTCTGCCAGCCTCAGGGTTTGCGGGGTCCTCCTCGGGGGGCCACACGGATAGTTGCCTGACCCTGCCAAAGGTAGTTTTCTCTAATTAGACGCATTTCTTCTTAGGTAATCAAACCCCAAACACTGGAGGGCTTTATGAGTCAGCTTCATTTTACTTCTGACCAGAAGCTAGCAACATAATTAGAAGCAAACTCTCTGTGTCTTCTTTGTGTTTTCAAGCGAGAGGGAAAATAACAGACCTACGGTGATTATAGCAACTTCTAGGTTTGATTTGTATACTTAAATGCTATCCTGGGTCCCCTAGTTCACATCCACCTGGAACCTCAGAATGGGACTTGTTTGGAAGTAGGGTCTCTGCAGAGGTCATTTAGTTCGGGCGAGGTCGTGCTGGACTGGGTGGGCCCTACAGCCGCGAGAGCATCCTGGTGAGAGGAGGAGAGGATCCGTGAGACACGCAGAGAAGGACGCTGCCCCGATTCCAGGGGCCCCTGGGCCGCCAGGGAGGCAAGGAGGGCCTCCCCAAAAGCCCAGCTCTGCAGGCACCTTGGTTTGATTTCTGTTGTGTTAAGCCACCAGTTGGTGGTACGTTGTCAAGGCAGCCCTAGCAGACCAATCCGAGTGCTGAGAACGATCTGCAAGGCTTATTTATGCCCGCCCTTCACAAGGAAAACAGCTGACGTTTACTGAGAACTTCGCGGCCGTGTGCTGAGCTCTTTCATCGTGTCAACGTCACCTACTACTCACGACAGCCCTCTGAGGTATGCGCTGTTACCATGATCGCCATTTTACAGAGGAGGAAATTGAGGCCTAAATGGGCATGGTAACTTGGCCAGCGCTCACACACCAGCAGGTAGGAGGACGGGACTCACGTCCTGGCGGTTTGACGCTTAGCTTGCCTTCTTCCCCAGTGTGTGTGCCTGCTTCTCACCAAGGAGTGGTCCTTCGTGTAGGTGGATATGAAGCCAAAAACAGAACCCCTAGTCTTAAAGCTTTTTAGTTATTATGATTCAGTAAAAAATCAGAATTTTACTGGTTGCAGAATTTATCCTAAAGAAAATAGGATACAAGATCTGAACAAAAACTCTTCTTTTTTTTTTGACACATTGAGGTGTAAGCTGGGTTCACTTATTGATTCATTTATTTAACAAACATTCAGCGAAAACCTAATGTGCCTGAAATGCTTGAATGTGTAGTTGAGTCTGACTAGACTGAAAATTTCAAACTATTTCAATGGTTTATAGATACAAAAATCTAGAAAATTCCAGGAAAGTCTAGAGTATATGAAGGCAGTAGATGTGAATCAGCTGTCACCCAGGCTGCTGCAAACGGTTCTTCATTATGGTCTTTTCACTGAACCAAATTCAGCAAGAACTTATAATCAAGAGGTGCAAAAATATCCCCTAATTCACTTGCCTGCATTGTTTTTTCCTATAAAAATTTTCATGTTCATCTGCCAAACCAGAATTGCAATTGAAAAATGCCTATCTTTAAATATTCTGGAACCATTTTCTGAGATTAGGGAGTTTTGTTTTCCTTTCAAACATTCATTTCTTTGCTGCTCAGATAAAGGCCAAAACAAAAGGATCAAGATCCCAGGACCACAGTGACTAAACGTGACGCATGGATGTTTCTGGAGCTGCAGTGTGACTATCACTTACGGTCGCACAAATGCACGCCAC